ATAACACACAAATTGTTCAGCATATATACCGAGTCTCATAAATATACATATATATATATATATACATTACACACATACAAACAGCAGTTACCGAGCACACAGCAACTGCACGATTGACATACATACAGACAACACACACACACACACCTACATACATACATACAAAGCGCACCGCACAAAACGAGCACACATACTCATGCACATATATATGTATATGTACAATCTATATATATACGAGCACATACATATATCCACTCACACACATATATATGTATAATTATATGTATGTATGTTGATACAAACGGACACGCAGACGCTGGGACGGACAAACAGACAAACGAACGGACAGACGGCCGGTGAGACGACGATGACGGCGACGACGACGACGACGTTGGCTTTGGCTCTGCTGTGTTGGTTGTTGGTTGGCTGTGGCTCGCTGCTGCTGCTGCTGCTGCTGTAGCTGTAGCTAGCGGCGGCGGCGTGGAGTGGAGTACGGGTGGGTACAGGAGCGTGTTTTGCGCTTGTGTATGTATGTATGTGTGTGTGTGTCGCTGTTTTGATGTATGCGTGCGTATTAGTTTGCATGTGTGTGTGTTTCTTTATGGCTGTTTGTATGTAAGCAAATGCTATTTTTTAGACAAGTTGCAAACAATTAAATCAAAATTCTTTAAATTTCTGCATAACAATCGCACAATAACAAACTCTGATCTAAACATATATAAAGCAAAAACACAAACTTACAATTTACATTTTACGTCACACTTAAGATGGTAGTGGCAGGTTGTTGTTATTGTTATTGTGGCAATTAACAAAACGAAAACACATATAAACAACACAATAAAAATAAAGGATCTTTTTTGCCAAACGCACAACAAAATTTTTCTTGATTGTGGAGCACACACACACACGCGAAGCGAATGAAAAAAGAACGCTACGCTAAAGCGCGACAAACGGACGATAGACGGGGGCAACAACAAGGCAAACTGGAAATGGAAGCGGAAAAAAGCGAAAAACGTCGCTACAAACACAGAGTTGCATGAGTAGCAACCCGGTAAGCAGAGTTGCATGTATTCTCAAAGAGCGGCGCGCCAATGTTATCGAACAATCGATAAAATTGCAATAAGCGTTTATTGCATGTTGCAACTAGTGCAGCTACAAAAAAAAAATTGCCAAATTGCGATTAAATCACATGCCTTCGACGCAACTTGCAGCATACATAGAGATCGGCAAGCAGATATTTGTCGGCAGAGCGCCAACTTTGGCATCGTGGCGCACAACGAGAGCGTCTAGAGAGAACGCACATCTGTTCAGAGGTGTTACGCTCAAAAATAGCGAATGGCAATGTGAAGCGCAAACGAACCGTTGTCGTTACGGTTAAGTGTATGGGTGCATGCGTGTTTGTCGGTGGATTCGTAGCTGTTGTAGTATTGGAGCGCGCCCATGTGAATGGATGGATGGGAGGGAAAAACAAATTTGACAATTGTACCGCGCGTACGAACGAAATGAACAAAACAAAACTGAAACGGCATTGCTGCTGCCTGTGTTGTCGTTTAACGTATATGTCGACGCAGTTGCCGGCGTGTTTGATGGATTTTCTTTTTTTTTTTTTTGTAATGGGGACTGAGTCTGCGACTCGCAAAAATTTGAAAATTTCCCGCGCAAACGAATAACAGTATATGTTGATATTGTTGCAGCTTATTAGTGGCAATAATAGTTACACCTAAGCCAGACCAATATTCAATGCACCCTCACACCGGCACCGACACACACACACACACACACACATATATATATATACATATACATACATATATGTATCAAGTGTAGTAAGCATAGGCAAAGCGGCGATTGCCCCGTCTGTAAGTTTTAAAACTGTATACTCATCACGATACTTCTGCTGGCGCTGCTGATGCTTCTTCTTCTTTCCCAACTTATTTCAGATTACGCTGCTGCTCTCTCGCTCGCGCTCACTCTCTCTCAGTCGCTCTCGCATGCTATGGGCCAATATAATATAATACACATACAAACACACAAAAATATATATATATACACATATACATATATATGTATGTATACTTATATAAGTATGTCTATTCATATGTATATATGTATGTAAGCTGAATGCCATGTTTGTATGCATGTGTGCGTGAATATATGTATATGTATACATCAATGTGTGTGTGATTTGGTCTATATGCAAGTACAAATTTGAAAGTAACCCGCTTCTCACCCCCGTTGATCGGCAACTGGTAGAAGTTTGGCATTCGCCTAGCTCCGCAACCGCTGCCACGGGATTCATTAAGAGCCACCAACTATCGGTAAAATAGTATATATATACAAATATATATCGTATATATGTATGTATGTATTTATAATAAAACGATAACAAAACTTTTCTGTTATACATACACGTGACCTTTTCTCTGGTTTGTGTCGTCGTCGGCGTCGGTTGTCATGCGAATTTTAGATATAATTTCTAAGAAAGTTAACCTTGCAGATATTTTTATTTTCTACTTATTTTTTTAGTTAAGAACGAAAGATTTTCGAAAGGATATTTTGAAAGCTAAAAATGTTTGTATTGAAGAAATGTCATTTTTCTCCAATGCGAGAAAATATCTTAAGGATATATTTTTCTTAAGGATACCATATTCAAAACCGAAATTTAAAGTAGCTCAATGTAATTTAAGAACGGTTTTGAAAGGTTTACGTTGAAGGTCACAAGGTTACAGCCAAAAATAACTAAATAATTAGTTTGATAACATTCTAAATAGTCATAATAGTAAAATACTTAATGGCATTTACTAATTTATATTTCTAGTTAGCTGTTCACATAGAAATATATTGTATTTATGTACATACAAACATCTTCTTATACACATACATATAACACAATATGATAAAAATATAATAACAAAATATGACTCATTTTAATGTAATTAAAATTTGCAGTATCTAGAGCTGCGATTAAAATTTTCCTATGAATAAGCCAAATTTCGGAGGTGCATATTACAAATATTTCATTTCGGCGTAATTTTTATATAAGAATAACTATATAAATATATTACATTACACATGTATATATTATATAGGTATTAATAGATAAAGCAAGGAAGTAGATAAATTTAGGTCATTTGACTATTTAGTAATTAAAAGTTTTAATAAACTTTAAATAAAAATTTATTTTTACCTAGTTGTTGGTTTTTTGTCAGCTTAGTTCTGCCTATCAAATACTTTAAATACTTTCTCTAGTGAAATCTATAAATTGCTAAACTAAATATTATGTCAAGTCTAAGCCTTAAATTGGATTTATTAATTTCAATTACAATTAGTGAAGTTATTTAATCTATACTGTCCATTAGGTTGCATATATTTTGATATATATGGATATACTTATTCATATGTATTGGAATATACATATATAAATAGGTAACCGCTATACATTTGCTAAACATATATCATATTACATGGAAAAAGTATGACCAATTACTAAACTTTTTACCATTTAGAAATACGAATCCGTCATGTACAACAAAATGTTAGTGAAAATTAGGATTATTTACTAATTTGAGGTAGCTGGAAAACAATATTCATATATGAAATTATCCTGATAGCAAATATATCAGATTTGGAATAGAAACGATGCAAAAAGTTGCCAAAATATGTTAGACTTAACACTCATAATTACGGTTTCAAGTCGAATATATAGTTCTCCAATTTAAGCTAAGGTCAGAGCTTATAGATCTATGATCTCCATTTATGAACGATTTTCTTCAACTAAGACATGCACAATGATTTCAGGACCAGAGTTTTAACATTGAGCTAAAACCTTAATTCAATTTATAATATGAATAAAATGTATAGAATAATAAATTTCATTTGCCAAAACATAAACAAAACGCTAAAAATTTCGCATTCCCATAAGAACTTGGCTTATAGCACAACCACTTAGCCATTTATAATCAATATATTACATATGTATGTACACAGACACACACACATATATATATACATATACTTATATAGATAGAGATATATGTATGTATGTAACTTATTTTATACGCAAATTTTAAGTGCGCAGTTTACGTTTGTACATATGTATGTGTGTGTGTATATATATGTGTGTGTGTGTGTTTTGAGTGTGTTTGTGAAAGATTTAAGCGCTCACCTAACCATTCACTGCGGCCAACCATACAAAGAGGCTGCTGCTGCTTAGTCGTAGATACAGCAGCGAGTACAATATTGACAGATTGATGGATATTTGTTGAAATTCTTATAGATTTCAATCCTCGCCAGCCTCGGCGTCCTCCTCGTCCTCGTTGAACGACAATTTGCTGCTGCTCGACTTTGACTTTTTGCTTTTTTTATCCTTCGATTTCTGCGGCTTCTCCGATTTCTCTGTTTGGTCCTCAGTTTGGATTTTGGGCTGCTTAACCCGCTGCTTAAACACAATCGGTTGGCTCAAATCCGCTGGCCTCTCAGCTTCTTCTGCAATGCAAGAATTTGGTCATTAGCAAAATAACCATAAAGAAGAGTCCAATAAAATCTATAGACAAACATTAATGTCTTTTTTATGCCATATGGGCTGTTGCAATAGTAATAATAGTTTTATGCAGTGAACGACTCCGCCTCCGCCTCCGCGTGCAACGCAACACGCCCCATTCCACGTCCAGCGTCCGCCCACAAATGAGATAGAAACTGATTTTAACTCATTTCTTGGTCGTTGCGAGCGTTTTCCTAGTTGCCTCCCGACAACCGCCCACAAATCCCTCTTTAACACCCTGCAGCCCACTCAACCCCATCTGAGTAAGAGTCTTGCATTGCTCCTTCGCCTCCACCTCTTCGCCCATTGGACAGAAGACAGTGGCTACCGCTGCTGCTGCTACCGCCGCCGCCGTCGCAGCTCCCCTTCGACCATACACATACATCCACACACACACGCACACATACATGTGTCGTCGTCAAGCCACTTGCCGTGCTCTCTTTGTTCGCCTGTTTCGTTCATCATTGTCTCTCCCGTTTTGCTGCTTCGTTCATTCTTTCACACGTTTTCACCCGATTTTCTGCGCGGGCCTTCTGACAGCAGCAGCAGCAGTAGAAGCGGTGGCGGCGGCGGCGGCAGCGGCGGGTTGATGACGACGATGGCGATGGCTGACGGTGGCGGCAACGACGGCGACGGCAGCAGCAGCAACAGAGCGGCAGCTGTTGTTGGTTTTGCGATGGCAGCGACGGCGACGGCGGCTGTGGGTCGCCGTTATTTGTTAACTTCTCTTGGCTGCCTGCTTTATCGTGCGCTCCGCTTTGGCTATGATTTTCATCACATGCTCCGCTTTAGCGGAGCCCCAATGAAAATGTCAGTGTGTATGCTTTGTGCCCGCTGTCTATGTGTGCGTGCGTGTGGGTCTGCGACTATCGATGTGTGTGTGTGCATGAGGGTGCTCCGCTGGCAGTGCCACACTAATTGCAATAATCGAAAGCCAGGAAAAGGCAAGGGCATGCGGCACTTGGCACTTGGAACTGCTACCATAGAGACGCCAGTGGGCGTTGCATTGCGTTGCGGGCGTGGCACATAGAACTTACAACTTCCCCCTCACCAACACACTCTTCCCTCTTCAGACAATTTTTCGAGGTTAGAATTGAAGTCGAACATGAAAATGAATTTTCCATTGAGCACAAACAAATGAGAAACTGCAACAAATTCGTATTTTCGCAAACACACAAACACAGAGAGCGAAGAAAAAACAGAATTTATAGAAAATCGAACACTTTGAATTGCCCGCAAAAATTTAAAATGTAGAGCGCGGTGTTTTTTGGCGTTCGGTTTGCTGCACTTTTGCGTATTTCAATTGCATTTTGTTTATGTTTCATGTACATATAAATTTGCAAGATTTCAATTGCAAAAACACCTAAAACACACGCGCGAAAAGAAACAAACACAGACAGATGCAAACACACGTTCAGATATACATATATATATTTACATACATACAATATATATATATATATTTGGACAGACATACGTACACAGTGTAGGGCAGAAAGTGGCAGCGTGAAAGAAGCGTGGAAGCGACCGACGCTCGATTCTGACTCAACTGAACTGAAAGCCAAACTGCCACAGACGATAACTACATCCTACCTACGCACACACCGACACGCATTCACAGGCACACATACAAACGCAAGTGCACACTCACAGCATACATACATATATACAAATACACAGCACGTGTGTGTGTGTGTTTGTGCATACCTTTCGCTATGCGCTGCTGCTCGAGGGCCACCTCATCAGCCGTGAGATCCCCACGCGTTAGGACCACAATTTGTGGCTTTTCGTCTTCACGCTCAGGTCGCTCCTCACTGGAATCGTAGTCCTCCTGATCCAGATCCTCTAGTTTTTGGCGCTGTTTTTTTTTTATGTTGTTTTATTTGCAACAAAGCTGAACATGAGCGGGGGCAACTTTGTTTTGATTCAGCGACTGCGGCAATAGCTTACCTTTGTTTCGACGGTGGGCCCCTCCTTGTAGCCGATCTCCGCCTTAAGTTTGGCCAAAAAACTGGGTTCCTGTGGCTTCACGTAGGTTATATTGTTGCGCTTGGACATAGCAATAAAGACATACGTATAGAAAATTCTGTTTCTTACAACGCCTATCAGTTGGGCTTTTCTTTCTATTTTGGTTGCCGCCGTTTACCTTCTCAGTGTGCACGGCTGTTCACATCAGTGTTGTAAAACGCACTTCGATCACCATACGATTGCATGAATTTCAGCATAAATTTAACTTATTGCACATTTAATTTGAGTTCAACGACGTTTACATTTATATTTCTTCAATTTTACAACATTTTTGTTTTAAAACTTTCTTGATTTAATGCTTCAATATTTTTATATTTTGTTATCGTTTACAATTTATATCGATATAGAACCAATTGCAAACAGCTGTTTTTATAACGATGTTTTTTGTAGTGCGCATGAGCGCCATATTTGCTATGAAATTTTAAATTTGACTATTGTGAATGGCGGTTAATTTGAATTTGATTTGAGCTGGGTCTGAGCTTTATTTAAATTGAAACAGCTTATTAAGAAGTGTCAATTTAATGTTGTAATGTAATTTAATGTTGCATTATCACTGAGATATAATTGGCTATTGCTACAAATTCATCTATTGAAAATGATTTGCTTGTTTTGTAGTAGAAACAGTAAAGACTTTGAATTCCCAACTGCCGCTACGATTTGCTGTCATTCATCTGCACCAATTCCCATAACAGCTTTCTCTTCCGTTATACGGTCAATTTGCTGAATCCTGCTGCCAAATCACCGCGACGCTATCTATGGCCAATAAAAAAAGAAGAGAAATTGAGCGAGCTGTCGCATAACTTGCAAATTTTCCACTTCACATGCAATTCGATGCCGTCTAAAATCGAATTTTGATCAAAACTGACAGCCAAACAATACACAGCGGCATTCATCAACGTTCACCGTTGTCGCATGCAGCACCAGCACCAGCAGCAGTCGCGGCAGCTATCAATCCATTTCCCATTCCCCTGAGTTTCTCACTCCTCTACTCTGTATCTCCCGATGCTTCATAATAAATCATCTGTAAATTGATTTCAAAAACTTGCTGCAAAAAACGAGCATTCGAGCAGCCGCTGGGGCTCACATGTTGCCCCAACTGCAGCGAATTTATGCATAAAACAACAACAACAACCGCAGCAGCAGCAGCTAGCAAAGAGTTTGAGCTGCAGCCTGGCACGCGCTTAAAATCTCACAAGCGCTCCCTCAACTAATATCAAATTGATAGCTTTTAAATTTGATTCCGCGTCTTATCACCAAAAGCGACAAGTTCGACAGGCCCAAATGGAGTGTGCACAGACACACACACTATGCGTCTCTCTCTCTCTCTCTTTCTTTCTGTCTCTCTCTGTCCCTCTCTTTTCTTATCTGTCTCTATCTCCCTTTAGCTGGCAAAGTTTCTTTTACTTTCTGTGCTGCATTAAAAATGAGCAGCGCAAAACATTTTATGTGTTGCAATGGCAGCAAACTGTGCAGCAGAACGTGGCGTATGCTAGCTATTCCACATACCCTGTAAAATAGTGTTGACTGGGTATGCTTTAACAGATTTCCCTTATGTAGCATTGGGGTAATTCTTATGCATATTGCAATATGTTAAGCAAAAACATCCTACATTCCAGATAGCATACTTATATAGTGTATGCAAAAAAATTACAGGGTATATAGCCTTAGTCAAGTTACGAATTGTAGAACTTTGGGAAAATTGGCATATATATTGGTATATATATTGCCTACCACAACACATTACAGGGTATCAACAAGCTTTGTTGTACTATGCAAATAACTTGCTAATGCAATACTTCAACTTGTCAACTTTGTTGACAAATTACATGGTATCATGTAGTCGACCTTTGTTGGATAAGGTCGTAAGTGGTTCAGAATAGTAGAATTATGCAAATAAATTGCGTCACTTATGTGACATCAATGTTACATGGCAATTGTGAATTACAGGGTATTAGACAGTAGTCTTTTGCTTATAACCTCAACTGTGTTTGAGGCTTACCGCGTTTCAAAAGTTTGCAAATGGATTGTTTTACATTTTAAGTAGATAATTTAACGGGCTTTTAGGCATGTTGTTTCGTCAATTTATAAATTACAGGGTATATCATAGGTAATCATAAATTATAAATGTATAAATAAAACTAACCTATAGTTTAACTTTTTTTTTAGGCATACTGTGAATTATAAGTTACTGTGTGATCATAGGTGATCATAAATTATAGGGTATGTCATAGTTTATGATAGCTTGGCGTGGCTTAACATAAGCGTAAAATATCAGCATAATGCAAATAGTTTAGGGTTGTCTGACTAGAAAAGCTAAGTACAGGGCAATGCACTTTTGTTGAAAATTACAGGGTATTTTCGTTGTTAATAGTGAAATTCAGTCTATTAAATTAGTTTTAAATTAAAACTTTTAATACCTGACAGCTTCATATAATGAAATTAGTTTAGCTTTGTATTACAGGGCAGCAGACTGTGTGTGCATATCTATTACAGGGTATTTTCCAAGTCATTCTTGCATATAGTTGCAGCTAAGTAGCAATCATCAGTAGCTTATCTAGACAGTCTAGCTCTCTTTACAGGGTAGCTGCTAGCTCAGACAACTATTCTCATTCAACTATCAGTTGTTGTTGCTGTTCTTCTTGTGGCTTGGTATTTTGTGCGTGTGTGTGTGTTTGTTTGTGTGTGTGGCAGATTGATAGCAATTCGAGTGGCTTCCCTTCTTTTTTTAGCTAATCTCTCTCTGCAGCCGTTTCGGCTTGGCCTTGACTATGCTCTAAGTTTTAGTTAAACATCTTTAGTTACATATTAGCAGCAAATACAAATAAACACAAACACACGCACACACACACATGGATATATAGATGTATGTGTGCATAGCCAAGGAGTCACATGAGTGACTTGAGGAAAAATGTTATCACACGCTGCATCCGGCCGTGCAATCGGGCAGCTGCCGTCGCATCGTCGGCCGTAGTCGGCCGCTGCCGCAGCTGCTGGGGCGCTTCGGTTTTACGGTTTCGGTTTACGGCCGAATCGTGCACGCGTTTTTTGCCAACATTCAGATGCTCGTCGGCATTTGGCGCGTGCAGTTGCAAAAGGCGCGTTGCAATTGAGAATAAAACCAAAAGAAAAAATTAATAAAAATTAAATTCTAAAATTCAAAATTTTCAAATTGGATTCGAAAACTCAAGTGAATTGAAGTAAACCAAAGATAAATACGAACTAAGCTAAACTGAACTGAAACTAAGCTGGCATGAGGCTGAGAGTGTGTTGATAAGCCGCAAGTGATTTTGGAGGCGCGTTTCACTAATCTTGCAACTAGTGCCACATCCGCTGGGCCCGTCAGTTAATCGTAGCTCAGCTTGGATTGAGTTGCCTCAGAGTATCGTTCGAGTTTCGCCTTACGCGTGTTCTACTGTTGCCAGTTAAGATGCATGGACTCTGGCCACTGGCCATGCTCGGCCTGGGCCTGTGCCTGGCCAGCTTTGTCAATCTGAGCGACGGGCAGTGGGTGCACTGCCCCAGCGGCTGCACTTGCGTCGCTCGCACCGTGCGCTGCATACGCGCCCGCCTCAAAGTGCTGCCCCAACTGCCGCTGGATACCCAAGTGCTGTAAGTAATGTGAAGAGGGCGAGGGCGTGTGTGGGGGGCGAGGGCTAGCTGGAAGAGTTCTAGCTTTGGCTGCGCTTGGTTTGGTTTACATGCATAAATCATCGTCAAGTTTTTGGCTTTTCGCAAATCCATAAATTAGTTTTTAATGTGCCGCGAGCTGTGGATGAAGTCGGCACTGGATGCTGCCTTGATGGCTCCTTCGGGCGCCACTCTGCGCGGCCCCAGCTTGCCTGTTGACTCAATTAAACGCTGTCTAACTAACGCCAGGACTTGTTTTTTTCCACTTTGTGTATACATACAAATGCATAAAAGTACGTATATACATATATATATATATATATATACCTATCAGAACTGACGCTGCGTTTATGCATTTTCCAAATGTCAGCACTTTTCCCCATGAATTTCCACTCAAGCTTCAGCTGTGGGTCGCTGCATGCAACTTGGCAAATGTTTGTGAAACATATGCATATTTATGCGATAGGCTGACTGCACCACCCAAACGCTGAGCCACCCAACCACTCACTCTCTACAGCGAGGCAACATCAAAAAACAGTTCAAAGTACGATTTCAGTATTCCAAAGAGAATTCAATGAGAGCACGATTTTTTTTTTTTTTTTTTTTTTTTTTGGGTTAAAACTAAAAAAAAAAAAATATATGTTTGGAAAAATGGGGAACACTATAGATCTATATTTAAATATCTGTGTATATAAAGCATATATATATTTTCTTATACATTCAACGACAGATTTCTACGCTATGTATATAATTATGAAAAACTATGGATAATTTAAATGGAGTTACCTTCAATAACAATATCTCTTTATAATGTGTTTACATATGACAGGAAATCGATTAAATTTATTAAATATATCTAATGATGTAGATTACTACAGATGATTATACATATATCGAATATCTACTATATTATAAATTATAATTATTGATCTATATTTTAGCCACCTCTCGAGTCCCCACTATATTCTTAATTATTATTCTACATGGGTCTATATTTCAACCATATTTATATGTAATTTTTATAACAAATTAATGTTATGATTCAATAACTAAAGTTCTGTGATACTTTTAATCTATATCATAGAAATGGGAAAACTGATTGCATTATCTGAAACAAGGTTGATGAATTGCATTAGCTTGATCCCTAGGCTTTCAATTTACAGAGGGATAGATAAAGGAACAGAACTAGATAAACTCAGCTTTCCATCGGTAAAAATATTATATGCCTGTGAGCTATTCAGATCGTCACGTGAATTGATATGATTTACAGTTCTATATATTTTAATTAATTATCCCGAATTATAATTAATTATAAGCCCAAAAAACTTAATATCTTATGAGGTAAAGCAGGTGCATATACGTATGTATATTCAATATCAAGATTATGTCTTCAGATGACAGATAAACAAACTGAGAGACAGGCAAACAGACAAAGACCGAGATAGAGACAAAGACAGCAGCAGAGGTAAAGGTAACTCTATAGATATGGAGACAGTGTGAGAGACAAAGACAGCCCGTCAATC